GTTCGCGTGTTCGTCTTTGTTCCTCCGTGAGGCTCGTGTTCGCCGACGCCGTGCCTCATCGGACTAATGGGCCGTGAGCGCGCGCGTGTTCCTACATATGCATCCCCGTAAGACGCGCTGTAATTCGTCTCGAGCAGCTCGGTTGTCGTGGAAACCTCGGTGAGGTCTGGTCTCCAGCTGCTGTCGGAGAGCGAAGCATGCTGGGACATGTGGTGACGGAGGGGAGGAGGTGGGGGGGGTCGGTTGGTTGGTTAATCATCAGCCACCATGTCGGATCTGCAGCCACATGATGTCTGACGGCTGCCAGTTCTGAAACCATGAACACTCGCTTTTCTGCAGGGAGTGAAAATGGTGTTTTCTAATCTTTAGTCATGATTTTAGTGAGTTTCAAGCGAAGATGAACGACTGTGGGTGTGAGAAAACCACACGCCAAGAAAAATAAACAGTGATTTTTATTGTTTATTGTGTGCGTTCCTTAAAAAAATCCTAATATGAAAAAGCACGAACGTACACAAATAAAAACGGATTAACTGCCAAAATTTGAGTCACTAAATATAACTTCGAATCAAACTAAATCAAATGTGCTGAGAGCATCCTTTGCCTTTAACCTTTAAATGTTTGAAAGGTATGTTTTCTTCAGAATCAAACCATTTACCAAGTTCTCAACAGTCCTTGAAATAATCATGTTTAACGTTTAATCAAACAAATTCAGGCTTACGATCCAATCAGTCATATTTATTATTATTTAATTTAAAAAGTGTCTCTTTAAAAATTTGCCAAAAATAAACTGTTTATTCGAACCAGATTTTTTGAAAAACAAAAAATTCTGAGCTCCTCAGCACAACCGTGAAGCCTTTAGTGATTCGGCTGCGGCCAACGGTCACGCGGCAAAAATTCTGGCACTTTTTCGGCTGAGCTGCAGGAAGTGTTTTCACAGACCAGAGAGGAGTCAGGTCTGGAAAGAAATCAAAAATCTAAGTAGAAAAACACCTTGATTTATTTGTTATATTGGTCTGCCTGCATTTTTTTTTCTTTTTTTTGCCTGATTAGTTTTATCCCACATTGTATTTTAATATCAAGTTTATTCAGTATCTAAATAAAGTTCTAATCATTACTGTTGTTATCATTCGGTGAGGGTGACAACATCTGTTGCATGACTCAAAGTGTTTTCAGATCCTGTGGACGCTCAGTACAGCAGAGACGGAGGAAATGGCAAGAAATGCCACGAGTCCTCAAACCGACACAACAAAATGTGAGACATTTCTGATCCGATCAACACAAAACAGCTTGACTTCCTGAAATATGACAAACAACAGCGGCTTCCTGATCTCCCCTGTGAGGGCTTCGGTTGGTTAAACTGACTAAAACTAGCAGATAAAGTTAGAGAGAGACTGTGGCTATGGTTGGAAGAGGTTCAGGTTTAAAGTAAAGGTCACTGTTGACTGTAGTAGAATCCATGTATTAAAAGTATATGTGCAGCCAGACATGAATATACTGTGATCCATCCTCCAAAATTACCCACATGTGACACACAGCTGTCACAAAGAGACACTAAATGACAGAAAATGTAGAAAAACAAGAAACAAAACGACAACCACTGAGACAAAACTACAAAAAATTTGACAAGACAACAAAACTGAGGCACAAAATGACAAAAATAAGACACAAAATGAAACAAATGAGACACAAAAAGACAAAAAAACAGCACAATTAATTTTTAAAAAAACGAGACAAAACAAAAAAACAAGACACAAATTGACAAGGAACGAGTCACAGAACAACAAAAAACGAGACAAATCGACAAAAAATGAGACGCAAAACTACAGAAACAAGCATAAAATAAGACAGAACGTCAAAAATGAGACACAAGTGAGATAAAAGACATGAACGAGACACAAAACAACACAAACTGTTGGAAACAACAGAACCGAGCCGAGGCTGTGAGCTCTGACACCAGCTGAACCACATTATGTGCGTTGCGTCATGCGGCTCCATGCAGCGTCTCGGAGATGCAGCCCGGTCACGCTGCAGGCGGCTGCAGGTCAGAGGAGGCTCTTCTAGTTCAGAGGTTATGAACGGCGGTGGCGTCTTTAAAACAGGAACCCTGAGCCGCTGTACAGAGGAAGGATGTTCCTGCGAAGCATTCAGCACCAGGAAGCGCACTTTTCTCCAGGCCTTTCCTCTGCCGTGGAACCGCCACGGCACTGACGCTTCTTCCCGAAAGCCGCCTGGCCCGTTTCCAGATACACCTCGGAGCGATGAAGTCATCCTCCGGGAGAAGCTCAGGACTCGTCACTTTTATTGCTCGTTTTGTTGGATGTCAGCGAGTCAGAGGCCAGACATCACCTCTAACTCGCAGCAGGTTTACCGTCCCGCTAATGTGAGCGATCAGTGCAGTCGGGAGGCTCGTTCGCTTCAGGAAAGCGTCTTTAAAAGTTCCTCCGGCTTCTTTAAAATCCAGATTTTTACGATTGTCTGCAGAGGTGATACATGAAACCCGGTGCGGTCTGAAATGTGCTCGCCATGTGTGCGTCCTCGGCGTCTCGTTGAGCCGGCCGAACCTTGAGGTTGTGGTCCTGATTTCGTTTGGATCAACATCCAGGCGAGCTGCACTATTTGTTATGGTTACATGGTGGTAATCATTAAAGATGATGGAGACGTGTAAATATTATTACCTGCACCATGCTGGGGCTAATCTTTCAACATAAACAAGCATCATGCAGACGGTTGTTTTTACTCTCATCGAGCCTCGCTGCCCCAAAGGATGATGTTTCTAAACGCCCTTCAACAGCCACAGTTGTCTGTTTCTCCTGATAAAACTCAAAAACAACATTACATTCTCCTACACCAGCGACGCCTCATCTCTAAACAAACACTGCAAATTTGAAGTAGCTGAAAATGACACGAAATGCAGCTTCTACTGAGTTTACTGTAACCGACGTTCGTCTGACTCGACAGCATTTACCTGGTAGATGTGGCAACTTTTGAGATCACGTTTTGTACATTTTGTGGTGTATAGCAATTAATTTTACTTCATTTAACCCTTTCAACGCGACTTTGGCTTGAATTACCAGGGATATATGCCAGGGTCCTCGCCAGGATTCCTTTACAGCCCACCGGGGGAAGGGTCATCGTCATCGTCATCGTCATCGTCGTCGGGGGGTCTTAGCAAATGCTGCTAATGGTTAGCAGTGAATACGCTAGCGAATAGCAGTGTTAGCAGCGAATACTGAAACTCCATTGGGGCTTGTTGTGAAATATTTTCCCGCTACGTACCCTCGAAAACAACGTATCGGCCCAATTTGCAGCATCATTTTCTTCAGGCAGCAGAGAAACGGGCGAGAACCTTGTATGCAATTATTAATATTATTATTGTTACTATTTGGATCATTTATTTCATAACTGAATCTCTTGCTCCCATACGGGGATTCCCACTGATAGACAATCAGAATGAATGTAACAGAAAGTCACCGTATACCGGAGCCCTGTACCGGGCTGCAGGGTAGACGGGGTGAAAGAGAAATGAGTCAGTGACAAAAGGTGCACCGCCATATAAATGTCATGAAAATTTCAAGTAAACTTGTGAATTGTGGCAAAGAATAAAAATAAATAAATAAACAAAAAGTTAGTCTTGTTTAGCAACGACTGAAAAACCTCAAAGAGGAGGAAGAAACAAACAAAAGAGAAAAATGTGCAAAAGAGGCAAAATCGTATTTATTCTTACACGTCAGCTGCTTTTTCACGACAAACTCAATAACAGAAGCTGCTGATCAGTCGTGTTTATGCGAAAAACTGTTTATAGAAAAAATAATAAGGAAAAACACCCACAGTGAGCGTAAGGACCATTTATCGACTTTTGGCATTTCTGTTCCATTTGTTTCTGGTAATAATTTTCCAAAATGCATGTAAGTTTGTTACAGCGATGACAGATAATAACTAGTAAAGCTGCAGAAAAAGTACAAATTCACAACATGTTTGGTTGTTTAAAAACAAACAAAAAAACACGCAAAAAAAGAGCTTTATTGAAGTTTGTTGGTTTCAATGATTTTTTTTTTTAAACTGACAATTAGTAAATATTTACATGTTAATTTAAAAGAAAAGAAAAAAACAGGCCAAAACTGTAAATAATGTCCACATCAAAAATCTGCACTTTGTCAAAATAAATAAATAAAATTCTGTTACATTGTGCGGCCATAAGATTACAGTTTTAGTAAATGCAAATGTAAAAAGTCCGCTTAAAAAAAGTATTATCTGCTTTTAAAAAATGATTTAAAATTAAGGATTTAAAAATGT